TAAAAATCACTTTTCATATATCTATATTTAATTTTGAATATTTTTAACGAAATTTTTATTCGGATAATATGATAAATAAGGTGAGTTGTCAACATCATTTTGTCTTTTTGAGATTATTCAAAGAATTATAATAATTGCCTAGTCATTTTCAGTTTGGAATGAATTATTCAAGCCCCTTAATTACACTGCCTTTTTTCCAGTCTATTTTTATCTATTTAAATTTATAAAAAAAAATATAATAAAAATATTAATATCCCAGCCGCAATTATTGTACCTAATAATTTTTTTTTCGTTATTTCTATTACTTGCATGGGATTTCTACGTAAGTTCATTCAAAAAAGGAGTTTGAAAAATTAAAAAAAGAAAAAAAGAAAGGCATATATGGTTCTATATTTTAAAGAATAAAGACACTTTCACATTCACAAGTTTTGGAAAAAATTTTTAGTTCCGTTTTATTTTACATGTCTTAATTTAATTGATATACAAATTAAAAAGAAAAAAAAGCTTTTTGGTCTTATAGTAAAATATATGTTCTTGTGATAATATATATAAGATGGTAAAATTTAAAAAAAGTTTATTAAATATAAAAAAAATATTTTCTGAAAAAGTAAAAATGATAGACATATATTAAAATAAAAAAAGTACCTAATTTTTTCCAAACATATTTTAATTGTTTTTTTTAAACCTTTTGGCATTTTACTATGACTTTCCTTATATATCAAATAGAATTCAACGGTTCATAAATATAGATTGATTAATAAAATAGATTTAATGAAATTTTCTGGAGTAAAATACAAAATTTAATATTTATGAATTTTAATTCTGATTATTTTAAGTTATTTGATTTTAAATATTAAATAATTTATAAACATTTTAATTAGATATTAAATAATATAGCATTTGAAGTTAAAATTACGAGATTATGTCGAACTCGACGCATTTATTCTAGGCTATAACTTATAGTTTCTCCCTGTTGCCAACTTTTTTGACTTATTATTTTCTATTTTGTAACCTTTATATATATATATATATATATATATATATATATATATATATATATATATATATTCTT